TGAACTGATTTGTTTCACTAGATCAGTTCAACTACAGAGCAATATCCTTCCTAGCTGAACTGATTTGTTTTACTAGATCAGTTCAACTACAGAGCAAAATCCTTCCTAGCTGAACTGATTTGTTTCACTAGATCAGTTCAACTACAGAGCAATATCCTTCCTAGCTGAACTGATTTGTTTTACTAGATCAGTAATAATTAAACTATCTCCTTGAAGAACTTCCTTCAGGTTCTCAACCTGATCTTCAGTTAGAGAACATTGTTTAGAATCTGCCCGAACATTCTCCATCTAAATATGATAAAAATTAGAATTTAAGAATAAATTTTACTTCTTAACTTCTTTTCTATGTCATAAAAAACGTTCATACACCTCTTTAAAGTATTAATTTTTGTTTTTATATGTTGCCTTAAACCGCGACCATTTTTACGTAAATTATAAAAATAAAAATTTTCGCAGAATGAATGGTAAATTTTTCAAATTATTTATTTAAACTGTCCAATGTTTGAAAAATTCTACAGACCTCCAAGCAAAGCTGGGTACCCAAACTAATATATATCTACCTGATATTTCTGATATTTGTCCTTCTCCTTGAGTTGCTCTGTTGCTACCTTCATCTGCTCCATCTTGTTCTTCAACATCTTGAGATCTCGCGCCATCTTTAGCTCAGCATCACTCGCCGTCGGAGCTCTAGTCTGAACCCTGGAGAGGACAGACTCAACCCGGGCCGCGAGGTCGGAGCCTCGATCCTTCACGTCCTCGTACTTTTCACTCAAACTCTCAGCGTTCTTTCTCAACTCCATCCTTGTTGTTTCAAGTTTACGTAGAAGGTTTTCCTGACTGCTCTTCTTTCCTTTTAGAAGTTTTATCTCCGAGGCAAGTTCATCTCGGACTTTTACGATCTTGCAGATATATTCAGCTTTCAGGGTTTCCGTTGCACGACACAGTAGTTCCAGGGTTTCCGTTTGGGTTACATTGGTTCCAGGTGCTGAGATGATCAGGGGTTGGGTTGAGTCTCTGGAGAAGATGCTTTTGACTCTATCTTCTATATTATCCGAAGAGCACGAGTAGGATTGCAGGGTTTCATCCTTAGAGTTTTCTGTGAGGGAGGATGCACTGAAGGAGGCGGAGGGTTTGGATTTAAGCGTGTGAATAGAATGATCCGCCATTAGACAGACTAGAGTAGCCGGCGGATAGTAAACAGATGCTCCCAGTAGAGGAGCAGGGGTGGAGTCCAGGGTAGGACGGGTACAGATCAGATGCTCCACTATACACTGAAGATCTGTGTCGATCAGATTCTCGCTCTCTGTGATTGGTAGTTCAACCTGGTGGAGTCCTGATCCATGTACAGCTAAATATCTACTCTTATTACTGGAGTCGGAGATAAGACGGACTGGGCAGGAGAATACGGAATCTGTAGAGTTAAGGGGACCTAGGTCCAACTCCAACTGTTGGTATAAATGTAAACTAATCTTTCCTCCAGGTTCTCCCAGCATCACGTGATGGAGGATGTTTCCTCCAACCTGAGCAATCACTAATACCGGCGGTCCTGTTTTACCGCCGACGGCTAGAATACTACAGGATTCGACACTGAAATCGGTCGACTGTGGCGGGTTTACTTCTACCGGGCCTTCCACACGCCATTCCTCAGCTAAATCAGCGTTCACATAGAAAACATCGCCATCCGCCCAGAGAACAAAAATCGGCCAAATATTCCCGTCCTTTCTCTCGACCGATGCTCCAAAGCAGAAATCTACCGCCGTTTCTCCGAGGGCGGTTTCTACCCGGCTCCCGCCGAGGTTGACCTGATGGAAAATACGGGACGATGTTTCTCCGACAAAGTAGAGAGTAAGGGATCCATCTGTAGTTAGAACTAGGAGATGGTTTTCTCCTGGAGAACCTGGATGCCAGCTAGCTTTCTGAACCTTCCGATCATCACGCTCTCTACACAAAATAAATTCCGTTGGTTAAACGTACTTGTAAGTATTTTGATTTATAATATTTTGTCATGTTTCAAAATGGCGAATATAATTTTTACGATAATTCAATTCGTCCAGAAGACTTCTGGGAATAGAGTTTTTAGTTGTTATCCACGATATTTAGATAAAATACAAAATACAATTGTAGACTTCAGAGAATTATAGAATAAACCCTTTCAAAATATTTATGCTAACTAAACCATAATTTTGTTTATTCTTTTATTTTTAGGTTTAAGTATCTGTGAAACGCGAAATATTAAATTGTATTAGATTGTTTAAAGCTCTAAATTGAGATTTGAGGGACTAATCAGAAATTTTTAGAAAAAACCGAGTCATTTATAAAAATGTATAAGGTTAATATAAAAATTTTCTTGCAGAAAATACCAGGATTTTCAAGTATTTTGAGAGTTTTTTGTGCGTATTTTGTGCGTATTTTGTGCGTATTTTTGCGTTAAAGGTTGGAGATAATGCAGTATGATTATTTTCATTAAAAACCAATATGTCTACCTGTAAACTGATATGGATCTGCAGAGGAGTTCTGAATCTCCTCCTCCAAACCTCCCATCCCCTCCACTCCTCCGCGGTACCTTAACAGTTAGATTTAAAAAATATGAATTCCCCCATTCTCATCCTGCACCTGTTCTACTTAACAATATCTAACATTCATAAAAGGCTTGAGAAAAAACACTTAGATAATATATTTTTCAGAATAATTCTGTAGAGGTTAAAAATTAAATAGTTTTTATATTTAAAGCAGAAATACCGCCCTATCCTACTTCCTTCTGGTCCTATCCTACTTCCTTCTTGTCCTATCCTACTTCCTTCTTGTCCTATCCTACTTCCTTCTTGTCCTATCCTACTTCCTTCTTTTCATATCCTTCTTCCTTCTTGTCCTATCCTACTTCCTTCTGGTCCTATCCTACTTCCTTCTGGTCCTATCCTACTTCCTTCTTGTCCTATCCTACTTCCTTCTTGTCCTTCTTGTCCTATCCTTCTTCCTTCTTGTCCTATCCTACTTCCTTCTTGTCCTATCCTTCTTCTTTCTTGTCCTATCCTACTTCCCTCATGTCCTATTCTACCTCAACTGCTGTGACTCCGTCCTCTCCGTACACTGCTAACCATCGAGCTGATTTGCTCACAGACAAACCTTAAACAAAACCAGAGTTAAACAATAAAATTGCGCAAAATGTTATCTTTTAATGCCAATAACTGTTAAGTTTGGTTTAGTAAGTGTAATAGCATAAATCTGCATAAGAACGATGAAACTAAAGTTAATCCAAAATGGAACCCTCAGACTGCCTTCAGGGCGCCCTACACCCCCGTAATATGATAAGAATTTATCCTTTTTAAAAAAATCAAATTAACAGTTTATTAAGTTTTGCTAAAGCAATATTTTGATAAGAAAAAAACCTGAACCTAGAGTTTAATCAGAGAAAACCTGAAACTGGAGTTTAATTTAGAGAAAACCTGAACCTGGAGTCTAATAAGAGATAACCTTAACCTGGAGTTTAATCAGAGAAAACCTGAACCTGGAGTTTAATTAAGAGAAAACCTGAACCTGGAGTTTAATCAGAGAAAACCTGAACCTGGAGTTTAATAAGAGAAAACCTGAACCTGGATTTTAATAAGAGAAAACCTGAAACTGGAGTTTAATAATAGAAAACCTGAACCTGAAGTTTATTAAGAGAAAACCTGAACCTGGAGTTTAATAAGAGAGAACCTAGAGTTAAGTAAGAGAAAACCTGAACCTGGAGTTTAATAAGTGAAAACCTGAACCTGGAGTTTAACAAGAGAAAACCTGAACCGGGAGTTTATTAAGAGAAAACCTGAACCTAAAGTTTAATAAGTGAAAACCTGAACACCTGGTGTTTAAAAAGAGAAAACCTGAACCTGGAGTTTAATAAGAGAAAACCTGAATCTGGAGTTTAACAAGAGAAAACCTGAACCTGGAGTTTATTAAGAGAAAACCTGAACCTGGAGTTTAATAAGAGAAAACCTGAACCTGGTGTTTAATATGAGAAAACCTGAACCTGGAGTTTATTGAAAACCTGAACCTGGAGTTTAACAAGAGAAAACTTGAACCTGGAGTTTATTAAGAGAAAATCTGAACCCCTAATAGTAGATTATAATGAGACTAAATGATATATTTTATTTAGACCTTCAAAAACTGTATTAAACCTGAAACTGTATGCTGAGGGCAGTCTGCAAGGTTTAAGGTTTGAATTTTGTTCTCTCCTCTGCAAGACAGGTTTACAGCAAGCACAGACTGTTCTCTGAACAAAATATACGAAAGATAAAAATGATAATCGTCTATCTGGCCGGAAAAGGGTCTAAGAAGGTTTTTTGCACTTTATACTGGTAGATTCATAAGATAGAAATTTTCAAAAAAAAAATATGATCTGAGGCCGAACTTAAACAATTTGAACAACCAATAACCGGTTCCAACTAAGCGCTGGCTCAAATCTCGGAAACACTGTAATTTCAAGTGGAACTAGCCATTGTTGAACCGCGTCTAGACGCGGTTCAAATTCTTTAAACATGGCCCCTGGGTTTAATGGTTAGGTTGATCGTTTTGATCAATAATTTTACCATAAAACGCCTTAGATATTTTTTGGGTAAAACTGGAAAAGTTTTGTTATTGTTCAGGAATGTCAGGAATATAAATAATTAAAAAAATATTAGTTTTGACAATAAAACTAAGTAACGACAATCAATACACTTTAGGGGGGTGAACTTGGCTTTGATTACTCTCATTTAAAAAAAATGCATATTGCATTATTGCATATATTCAGAATGAACTCCAATGACTTAAAACAACTTAAACCGGTTTTAAAACTTGCGTATTTTCACATGTGAACCTTTATAATTTTTTTATTTACACAATGGAAGCAATTTCATGTAACACTTCCATTTGAAGAGAGGCAATTCCAAATCTAAAGTCAAAAAATAATAAAATTAAATATTTCTAAACCTTGCGTTCCATAGGAATAAATGATCATCTACAGTGTTGAGTATAGATGTGGTTTGTGAGCTAGGATCTAGAGCGGGACCGAGCAGAGCAGATATAGCTCCACGTGTAACAGGATTTAATCCTGATATCTCTTTCATCCTTAAATCTGAAATTCAAAAACGATTATCCTTAACTCCGATTTCTTCGAACCTGTATTTACTGTTTTTCACAGAAAAAATAGCTAAATAATAGTTCTTAATTCATTTCGTCCCTTTCTTTAAATGTTTCAATTATGCACATTTGAACTTGTTTAGATTTAGTATATGGATAAAAAGAGATAATCTTATCCTTCATGCAGAGTAAAATTTTCCTTAAAAAATCTGATGAATATATTTCAGATTTTTATGCAAATAATGAATGAATAAGAATGAAGTTCCTTTTATTTTTTTTTAAACAGCTTTTTAAAGTAAAAATTGACCTTTCTTTTGGATTTTTATAAAAGTATTTTTTGTTTTTTTTTATTTTTTCACTATAAGGCAACAAATATCTGTCTCCAGCTCTTTAGTTTTTCAAGTTTCCTTCGCATTTTTGTCTGAAAATTAAAAAAAAACACATAAAATTTTGAAATTTATTATTTTCGACAATAATTATTATTGATTACGAGGATTTCTTGTTATTGTTCTGCGACGTGTTGACTATGTATATAAATATAATAATACATGAACTACTGATGATGATTTATGTGTCTAGGTTCTAGGTTCAGCCTTGGTTTCTCCAGGTTCTATTCTGCAGCCTGAGTAATGGGTGAGGTGCCCTTGAGTCCTGGTTCTCCCTTGGTAGCTATACCAGCCAGCAGCTTCTTAATCTCAGCAATAGCACGGCCAGGATTCAATCCCTTGGGGCAGGTCTTTGTGCAGTTCATGATTGTGTGACATCTAAACAATTAATAATTTACGATAAATTATCTGAACAGTCACTTGTCCAAATTAAAGTTTTCGTGTTTCTCATGTTTATTTGTTGTAAAATCAGTTAACAGTGGATTAGGAAGACGACTTTAAGACTTTAACTATGACTTTGAGACACAGAAATTGAGCATTGTAAACAGTGATTTAAAATTTAGTAGTAAAACTATTTGCTTTTTAACAACTTCAATTACATTTAATTATTACTTTAATATCGTCTTTCTCTTCCACAGTTTTCTGTGTCTCACTGTACCATTTTGTGGCAACAATTCAATGAGGATTTTCGATACCGAATTTTTTTGACTATTAAGAAAAAAAATGATTATTCTAGGAAAAATCATTCTTTGTGAGAAGAAAGGAAAAAATATATATATACTTTGAACCGTTGCCCCCATCTGATTTTCAAAGAAAAGAGGGGGGGGGGGAGTAAAATTGAACATTTAATTGCAAAATAACATTCGCTGTCCCTCTCATTCAGCTTGAAAAAGATGACTATAAATAATTAGATTTACCTGTACACACTGAATGGATCTCTAAGTTTATCTAATCTCTCAGCTTGGTGTTGATCTCTGCTGTCAATAATCCATCTGTATGCCTAAACAACGGAATATATTATTGAAATCTGTGGTAAATATGATGTTTGTTGTGGAAAATATAATAAAATAAAATAAAATATGACGGAAGTATGACATAATTTTGTTACTTTTAAGATCCTAACTTATGGAAAAAATGTAAGTTGTCGAAAATATGTCAGTGGTTGCCGGAAACATTAAATAAAGTTGTCGGAAATATGTCAGTAGTTGCCGGAAACATTATATAAAGTTGTCGAAAAGATGTCAGTAGTTGCCGGAAACATTATATAAAGTTGTCGAAAATATGTCAGTAGTTGCCGGAAACATTAAATAAAGTTATCGAAAATATTTCAGTAGTTGCCGGAATAATTAAATAAAGTTGTCGAAAAGATGTCAGTAGTTGCCGGAAAAAACACATGCCAAAAATATGATGAAAAGTTGTCGGAAATATGTAGTATAAATTTTTCACTATGGCTTGTTCTATCACGTAAAAAATATAAGTTTCCATCAGAAAAAAGGACAGATTTTCTAACGGGTTAGATGAATGAGGGATTGGGGAGGGGGGGTTTCACTTGATTAAGTTTCTCTAACCTGCATGAGAACAGCAGGACCAAGATATCTATCTCCGTTCCAACAGTAGGCAGGACCAAGATATCTATCTCCGTTCCACCAATAGGAAGGAGGGGGGGGGGGTCTAGTCTCTAACCTGCATGAGTACAGCAGGACCAAGATATCTATCTCCGTTCCACCAGTAGGCAGGACCAAGATATCTATCTCCGTTCCACCAATAGGAAGGAGGAGGGGGGGGTCTAGTCTCTAACCTGCATGAGTACAGCAGGACCAAGATATCTATCTCCGTTCCACCAGTAGGAAGGACAGGATGTAGAGCAACAAGCACAGAGGATACACTCATATAATCCGTCGAGCTTGGCACGATCTTCAACACTCTGTAGGATCTGCTGCTCTCCGTGTCCCATCTTATTCTCATCCTCTCTCTGCAGCCAGGGCTGTATACTCCTAGACACACATAGTTAAAGTAATGGTCCGCAAAATTTCAGATAATTCTTTAATATTCAAAGGAAATGTTCAATGTTGTTGTGACTTTAAGTAATCCTTAAATACCCGATAAAATAACTCAAACCACTCAAACTGCATAGTAAATTGTGATTGCTTGTTTGTAACATCTCAGGCGTTGTAGTTAATTAAAAATATGAAATTTGATGAATGAACCTTTATCTCCGTACCAAGAAGAATGATATCGTAAGCTATAAGTGTTTAATTCTGATAATTACACGAAGAAGGATTCTTTTATAAACAAAATGGTTCAATTAAATTGTTTAAATGTTTTAAGGATGATATTGTGTTTAATTCTGATAATTACACGTAGAAGGATTCTTTTATGAACAAAATGGTTCCATTAAATTGTCTAAATGTGTTAAGGATGATATTGTGTTTAATTCTGATAATTACACGTAGAAGGATTCTTTTATAAACAAAATGGTTCCATTAAATTGTCTAAATGTTATAAGGATGATATTGTGTTTAATTCTGATGATTACATGTAGAAGGATTCTTTCATAAGCAAAATGGTTCCATTAAATTGACTAAATGTTATAAGGATGATATTGTGTTTAATTCTGATGATTACATGTAGAAGGATTCTTTTATAAACAAAATGGTTCCATTAAATTGTCTGAATGTTTAAAGAATGATATTTTCCAATTTCTGCTCGAATCTGCAAAAAAACGTTTGTTTGTCCAGAAATACAAAAAACTGCAAAGGAAATAAAAACTATTAAAATTAATGTTCATCATATCAGGACTCTTTTGATCACATTTACCCATTATTGTAATTTTTTAAAAGTCGTATCATTAGCGGGGCATTTACAGAGAGTACACGGAGCTAAATACAACTTTCAATGTGAATATTTCACAAAAGGGTAGGAGTGTATATTTTTCTGCTTTCAATTAGCTTTCATTGGGTTTGGGGAAAAATAATGAAGGAAAAAGGGGGAGGGGGAAGGGAAGGGGAAAAGGAAAAAGGGGAAGAGAAAAGCGGGAAGAGGGAAAGGAACAGGGGAAAGGGGAGGGGAAAAGGGGTAGGGGAATAGGGTAGGGAAAAATGGAAATAGGGTAGGGAAAAATGGAAATAGGGAAGGGAAAAAGTGGAAGAGGGAAGGGATAAGGGGCAAAAGGGAAGGAAAAGGGAATAGGAAAGGGGGAAGCGGAAGGGGAAGAGGGAAGGGAAAAGGGGCAAAAGGGAAGGGAAAAAAACGCACAAAAAACGAAGTAAAAAAAACAGTATCAGAAATGCTTAAAAAACTCAGAGAGGACGTTGAAGTTGACCTTTTTAGGGCACCAAAACGCTCCGTTATACTAACGAAGTTTGCGCGGACTTGATAAATCTGTAAAATATACCTGTTTTTAAGTTGTGGATTTGGAGGAAAAATATAATTTTGAAAAGGGGGGGGGCAAAAATATGAGTCTCACAACTAATATACACCCCTGCAAAAGGGGGGGGGAGGCTTTATGCATACATATTCAGTTTTAGAAGAAAATAAAAAGAAACATTTACTTGTACTGCTGGTAGAAGTTATTCATGTCGGGGACCAGGTCCTTCACCACGTACATGTGGGGGAGGGGGTAGATCTTGGTCGCCTTGTCGTTGGCATCAATCTTGGTAAGGCAGGCCAGGGTGTTTACGCCTCCTAAATATTTAACATTTTAAAATAACGATTTAAGAAACGGAAACATTTCCATCGGTGAAACTTTAAATTTGATTTTTTGTACAAACATATCTACTCATCGTTAAAACCTTAAATTACATTTATTCTTTTAATTATTTTTTGGAAAGATTTGTATCAACTGAATGTAGATGTTCCCTGAAAAACTAGTAAAACAAAACCTACTATTTTCAAATAATTTACTCAGTTAACTATCATCAGATACATACCGAGAGATTTTATCGTGAATTTTGATATATTCATAATTTATTCTATTACTAATTCTAATCCGATTTCTGAATTATTATAAATATATGAGAATTTATAGAAGTTAATTGTTTTTGTATATTTAGATGTGTTTGATTATTTCGGTTTTAGGATATATATTATATAACCTAATGATTCTTAAAGTATGTGGACATAATTTCGATAAACCCTAAATTTTTAATAAACTACTGTCCCTTCAAATGAATTCTCACCAATATTCATGGCGCAGGAACCACAGATTCCCTCCCTGCAGGATCTCCTGAATGTCAAAGACGGATCCATCTCATTCTTGATCTTGATCAGTGCATCCAGTACCATAGGACCACAGTTGTTCAGATCCACCTTGTACTCAACCATCTTGGGTTTATCTCCAGCAGTCTCAGGGTCCCATCTAGAACACGGAAGGTTCGATTCACGAACAATAAGCACAAATATAGAGTACATATATCCATCATATTTATTTTTATAATTGTTGACTGTCGGTCAACGTTTTACCACCCACTTCTAGAATTTTGTATATTTATGCAGTTCCTACTTCACCCCCCCCCCTTCAAGGTTGACCACACTAATTTTTTTTTCAAATTATAAATTTTAGGGTTTGGATTGTTTTGTTTTAAATTTCCAGAATTTATTTTGCTAATAAGATCTATTTTTTTGTAATTAATTGTATTTTTCTAAAAACTAATTTTTAGATTATTAAATATTTTAGTTGTTTTTGTACAGATCGAGACGGATATGAAATAAATTGAAATATATTTTCCAATCAAGTTTTTTTCCCCATCAGTATAAAGTCTAACAGGAAGAGAAAAGTTAAAAAAGAAATTTCTTGACTAGCAATCAATTTTCCTAAAAGAAATTAATAAACAAAAAAGTCGAGTAAAATTCGTAATTTGTTAATAAATTTTTATCGTCAAAAGGATATAGATGACTCTAGGCAATAATCCAATCCGAGGCGTAAATGGGGGTCTAGTCTCTAACTTGCATGAG